ATTGGCCTTTTCTTAAAAGATGCTTTTTGTTGTTGATGTTGTTAATGTGTACCAGGTACAGAGGAAGAAGAAAAACTATAATTTTTCAGAGTTTTTTATAATTGAAATAGTTTTTCTTTGCTTTGTTTAGTGGAGGAATAGGCACTGAGTGTCTTGCTTGTGTCTCTCAAGCCCATTACACTTGTGCAGGGTCATACATGGTGCTGTAAGGCGTCATTCCTGCAAATGATAATTCAAGAGTGCATGCATACAGTATTAATGGAGGAGTACCTCAGATGACTGCATAGGTTAGCAGATCTCCTGCTGTCCTTATGGCTGCTTGGGGAAGACTCATTGTGCATTTTCCTGTTGAAGGGAATTGTTTCCTCTTATGCCTCTCTAAAGCTACAGTTGTGATTTAGATCGCTCTCAAGATTGGCTATAATAGATTGTATTACATATTCTTCTAGAGAGGCAAGTGTTCCTGCTGTGTGCTTAGCCTTGCCAAGACAGTAAGATTAAGCAGACTGGCAGGTGGGAGTCTGAGGACCAAAGGTGTTACTTTAGGCTGCAGGGAAAACACCAGACATGGCAGATCAAGGTCATTCACTGTTATTCTCTACTCAAAACAAAGATCCAAGGTGGGCATTGTGATAAACAATGTCAAGTCATACTTGACAGATAATTAACTTGGAAGATCATCAGGATGCAACAAATGATAGTCCATGAGGATGCTGAATACAAGAGAGAGAGACTTGAAACAACAAGGAACAATATTGGTTGTTTTTGTACAAGTCAGTGAGGTTGGTGTTGCTCTTGAACAGTTCCTCTTAGCTATTTATTTTAAAGGTTTTGACTAAGAAATAAAAGATAAATTATGACCACCTGAAATAGGAACATATGTTTCCATGAGATTTATCAGACATTCTTCTTTAGTAAGAGAACATCAGGGTTACTCTGTCCAGACAGCATCTGCTTTTCCACATAGACATTTTTATTATTGCTTCAGTGTTATTAAACACACATGAAGCAAAAGTACTTGTTGATATGAGAGACAGGTTACTAATAGTGGTGCAAAGAGTGAGACAAGTCTGTTGCTCTTCTCTTTCCTCAAAACATCTAACAGACAGCTCTGCTTCCACCCATGGCTTCCCCAAGAATCTCCACTGCGCTATTCATTTCTTCCATGGTGGCACCATGATCAGAAAAACAGTGTTGAATTTCTTCCTACTAATGTTGTTTCTAACTCTAAGAAGCAGAAAACATGTACTGAGTCTGTTTATCTGCATGTCTTTCAAATGAAATTGTACTGAATTTATGCAAAGGTCATACAGGATATTTGCCACTACTAGAAATTGCTTAGAGCAGACATTAGTGTTTGTAAGAACTGAAGGTAAATCCATTTAGTCCTTTTGCAGTGATGTCTGTCTGTATTGTATCTTTTAAAAATACTACTGAAGGTCCAATCTTCCCAGTCTATTTATAGCCCATTCGCTGTTGGAAGAAGTGTTAAAAATATAGAAATATGTAATAGAAATAAAAGATAGGTGTATTGCACACTTCTGTTGCCAGTGATTCCTGGTAATAAGATTTTTCTATTCATGTTTCCTGTTCAATCACTAGGAGAGTTCCAGGTATGTACTTCCCTTGTGATATGGACTCATTCTGTGGAAGTACTGAACATAATATTTAGGTAGCTTACATAGGTGGCACTTAATGCTTCTGATGAAAGAAATTGGTTGCATGTAAGGATGCCATTTTTAATTTCTGACTAAGAGTGCCCCTAGGAGATTGTGTGTTCTGCCAGATTGGAAACTCTTTTTTATATTGGATAAAGTCACAAAACTCCAGGAAGGAGATGGACAGCAGAGGTCACATGCATGACCTACTGTATATATTTAAAGTGGTTTAGACAAGTGGTCTCCTGCTCCTCCAGTAGAACAGGTTGCCATTACACGAGCAGCACTAACCACCTTATATAATTAATTAAATATCAAGGCATTTAATTCAGAAGCAATTTTTGAGGAAGATAACCAGGGATACTGAATTTTTGAGGATGTAGTTTATGCTATGCAAAGCTTCTATTCCATGAATATCAGTAACCAGCAATAACAAGAAACCATTGATCTTCATCCTACATTTAAGGGAAAATTCTGCATCCCTTTGCTGCATCTTCTGCCCACTCTGTTCACTCTATGTTGTGTATGTGTTGCATGGTGCGGAGGCAGGTGTGAGCAGAGTTGGGAGCAGGATGGAGATAATAGCCTCTGCTAATCCCCCACTGGCATAGTGTCTATTAGGAGTCAGTGATGTAATTAGAATTGAAACCCTGCTGTCTCTCATCTCTCAATGTCACATGGCCACCAGTCTATCCAGGCATAATTTGTTCGTCATGGGTCATGGAGAAATGTAGCCTGAGTATAAATCTGCTCTTTTGCTGTCTTGTAGACTGGTTTGATACAACATTAAGATCTTAGCTCATTTTCCCACTCCCCTTTTGGAATATTGACAGACCTGAGATGTTTGCATCCAGGAATGGCTTCCATGTACTACTGCTTCCGTGTTTTAGAGAAGAGGGATATGTGTTCCTCTGTAATTTGAGGTTCTCATAATTATACTCAAATTAGGCCATACAAATACTTCTTGCCTTCTTTCCTTTCTCCTGATTTACTCACCAGCCTCCATAAAGTTTAAGCATTTTAAGCTCGGTTAAGTGTTCTGTCTAATTTGGATTTCCTTTCTGGACAACCTCTGGAAGCATAGCCTTAGGACAGCATTTGAATTTGAACTGAGCTGACCCTCCGGTATGGTTGCAGGAAGATGATGGCCACCCCTCTTGCAGCATCCCGCAACAGCCTTCTGTTGCCCTGAGTCATGCTGGTTGCCCTCCAAGTGACTGGTGTCCCAAGTCCCCAAGCTGTACCAACCCATTCTGCTGCAAGGGCTGCATAAAGACATCAACCTTCATGTCTAGCCTTATGTGTGATGCTACAGATGGATTCAGCAAGGCAGTGGTAAGGGGTAGTGTCACAGATAGCTGCATCCAAAGGACTCTTCTTCATTACACTCAAAAATTCCACTCAGACAGTTGATGCAAAACTGGGAGGAGCAGCTGGAACACCAGATGGGTGTGCTGCTCTTTCAGAGCAACCTAGGCAGGCTAGAAAAATGGGATGAGAGGAATCTCTTGAAGTTCATCAAAGGGAAAGGCCAAATTCTGCACAAGAGGAGTCATAAACACAGCACTGCAGGCCCAACTGGCATGAAACTGATTTGCACTGGAGTACTTGCAGTTCCTGGTGGGCAGCAAGTTGCATATAGGCCAGCAGAATGTTCTTAAAGCAAGGGAGGTAAATGGCATTTGGTCTGCTTTAGGAAAATCATCACCTGCAACTTGAGGGATGTGCTCATTCCCTTCTGTTCAGCTCTGCAGTGTTGGGTCCAGTTCCGGGCTCTCCAATAGAAGAAAGGCACAGACATCCTGGAGAAAGTCCAGGAAAGGGACACAGAGATGATGAACTGGAGCATCTCTTCTATGAGGAGTAACTGAGAAAGCTGAAACTCTTCAGCTTGGAGCAGAGAAGGCTCAAGGGGGCACATAAGTGTGTGTGAATATCTGATCCCCCATACTGCAGAAGACAAGGCCAGACTCCTCTCAGTTCCTGGTGACAGAACAAGAGGCAATGAGCACAGACAGAAGTACAGGAAATTCCTTCTGAGAATAATAAAATAGTATTTTCTTTTCCTTCTGAAGGTGACAGAGCAGAACACTTGCACAGATTGCCCAGAAAGGTTGTGGAGTCTCCATCCCTGGAGATACTCAAAAGCTGTCTGGGCATGGGCCTGGACAGCTAGCTCTAGGTGGCCCTGTGTTGAGCAGGGGTGTTGGAGTAGCTGACCTCCAGAAGTGACTGGAGCCATTGTGAGATCCTGTGAAATGTTTACTACACTCACTAATCTTACACAGCTATACATATAGATTCACTTTCTTCTCTCGCCTCAAAGGGAATATGGGATCTCTATGTTGCATCTTCACAGTGAGATTTTTCAGAAGGTAAAGTTAAAAACTGTAACTCCATTAGTTATGAGTCATGGAAACATTGATTTTGAAAGGTTTGTATTTTTACCCTGTTTAAAAGTTGTCTGTGGTTATGATTACTTTTTGCTTGCCATCAATATTGTTTTGGTTTTTTGCTCAAATTGAAAATATGTTTGTGTTTTCAAAACAAATGTCATTGTGGGAAAAGGACCAACATTGCCAATTTTTTTCACAGCAGGAATATTTTCACTGGCTGGATCTGATAAACCACTTCTGAAGAGAAAATTTCATTCTAGCACATACATGTACACACACACACACACGCGCACACACACACACACACACACACACACACACACATTTGAATGTCTGCGTATTTTGCTTTAAATTCAGGCTACATTAAGTATTCCTGTGGAACATTTCCAGGTCAGGCATGATCAATTCAACTTGGGTTGTATGTTACTCCTACCTTGCTGCTTTGAAACAAACCATATGTCAGTAAATATTTCTTACTACCAAGTCCCCCAGTCACACTTGGGGTCTCATCTGCAGTATGTAAGTATATTGAGGTTTTTTTCTGATATATAGAAAAGAAACATATTGTATGCCTTCACTGTTATTTTATTATTTCACATACAATCTTCTGAGGTAATATTTTCTGACGCAGTATTTAACTCAGGAGAAAGAAATCATGTTACAACTTTTCTCTCTTGAGCAGTAGACACTGAGTCAGTCTGAAGAATAGAAAATCTTATAGACTGCATTTAATTAAGTCTGTAACATAGTACAAACTTATTCAGGAAATTCAGTGAGTTCAGAAGTGTGGTGCTGGTTGACAACATGCATACGGCACATATATGACAAGATGCATGTACAAGGTGGATTTTAATACAATCTTTTTATAACAAATGTATTATATAATTTTGTTTACATGGAGTTTACATAATGGAGTTCACATGCCATGTCCTCTTTTTCCTTGCAGGGTACATACCCAGTTACTTAGACAAGGATGAGCTATGTGTAGTATGCGGGGACAAAGCCACCGGATATCATTATCGCTGCATCACTTGTGAAGGCTGCAAGGTAAGTGGCATGGTGGGAAAGTGGGAATCAGAAATAGCTCTCCAGCTCCTCCATTATACAGACTTCCTGAACTGTGCTGTCAAATCAAATAAAGACAGATTAGAAGCTAATAAGTACATCCAGTACTGATGATAAGCTGTATCTGGCCATGCTGCTACTCTTCATATGCATAAGGAATATAGCTGGTTTTTGCCGTGTTTGCTTCTGAAAAGAAAACAAGAAAGTTAGATTGCTGTTGCTGCTGTTTAACAGTTAGCTTTTGAATTTCCATTTTTTAATGCTTTTTTTTAGCCATGTTCTCAGCCAGGGTATATCAGCATGTTCCCAGCTAATCTGCTGAAGCTGTTTATGCAATAGCTAAGGTTCTGCTTATGGCCATGAAGAGTCTGTAGCAATTAGCAGTGTTCCAGTGCCTCTCACCATCCCTGTGAAGAAGCAAAAATCAAAATCCTTTCCACATGCTCATATTACAGTAACATCCATCAATTTGGGAAGCATTGACACCCAATTAAAATAGTTTCAAGAAGATTTTGACTTCTTTAACTTAAGCATATTGAAATGTGCTTTCAGTACTAAAATACATCTGCATGACTGTGTGCAAAATTAAATTTAAAAAGAGATTGCTTTGGGCAAGTAAATAAAAAGATGGAGTAACACAATCAGATACATCTTACATGATTTCACTGCCATGAATTTGCCTGAATAGCTTGAGATTCTGTAAGAAAGCTATTCTTTCCTGCAGAAAGTAAAAAAAAAAAATTGTTTTTCTAAAAAATGGGACCACACATGCCTTGGGCTAATGTCATGAGACTAAGCCATGAAAGTCTCATTCTGTTCACCCACAAAGTCTGGAACATTTGGATCTGATATTTTGGGTTTGGATTTGCTTTAGAGCTCCTCATCACAGTAACTCTTGTGTTGAAGTAGTTCTTTTGGTTGTACATCATTGCCCTAAGTTACATTTATGAAATGCACAGAGACCTAAATATCCTCTGTATAGCAGATTTATGGTAATATTCATAATGGTTTTATACATATACTTACATACATAGTATAGAAAAGTAGTTATATCTTTAAAAAGAGCCGTGGAGCTGCACAAGTGGTTCTTACACATTTGTATCCTGAATACCAGATGATAACAATACATAACATGTATGGATGCAACATAATTCAGATATAATGGGAAGTAAGCAGCACTGGGGCATTATGAAATATACTTAGCTCCCAGCTGAACCCTGTATCTATAGCAAGCTTTCCTGCTAATGTTTCATTACTTCAAGTCAAGTAATTCTTTTTATGCCTACCAGCTATTTTAGAGACGTAGCATACAAATCTGCTTTTATCTTCACATACAGTTCTTCTGTCTGATGTACAATTTAAAATAATGCTTATGTGTACAAGGAACTGAGATAACAATTTGCAAAAAGTAATTAATTTCTTGGAGGAGCTGCATACACATTTCAAGCTGTATGATATATCAACAAAGTTATATGTTTTATCAAAGTTATATGTTTTATTATATATAATCAATTTTCAATTAATTGGATGTTTACTAGTCACTTCCATTCAAAGTCACTTTAGTTTTGTAGCAAGCATAATCAAGGCTGACAACCATAGATTTGCTTTGGCAAGTGCTTTCATGAACAAAGCATCCTCACACATGATTTCTGAAAAGTAAATTGTGAGAAATTTAAACAAAATAAATGACTGGTGAGCTCTGGCATCACTGAAATGTTTTTCCTGACTTTGCCCATTGCATCTACTGCTATCTAGTTGTGTAGTAAAGGAGTTTAGGAAGAGTTACTGCCTACAGTAAAATATGCTTTCTTTTATTGATGAGAATAACACTTCTGTGATGAAGTGTTTGGACAGATATAAAGAGCAGCTTCCTTAACATGTATCTAGAGATGAACAAAGAAGGATTTTTGAAAAATTTTTCTGAGAAATGAAAAGAAATTAGAAGCTGAAATGAGCTGTCCCAGCAGAGGTGATGGAGACCCTTGCCATCATAAAGCCACAGCTGCATTAAGTCCTGCGCAAGGTTTAGAAAACAGAAGCTCACTCACTGAGATTCATTAGAGATTTTTCCATCTCTTGCTTCATAACTGTTGATAACCCTGTGACCCTGGTTGTCGACAGCCATCCTAGGTATTCAGGAAGGGGTGGAGCAGATCTTGTCTCTAGGAATTCATCACAGGGTTGAGCACAGAACCAAAACTGGATGTTCAGTAGATGAGAGTTTGAGACTTATTCCAAACACCACATAAGGATATCTTGCCTGTGATTTCCTGGATTTTATCTTAACACAACTGGTCCCCATCTTGCAAAGGCTCCCACACAAGTTTTATGCCCCTCAGTTTAATTAACATTTCAGGTCTTAACATAATTAAGGAAGAAGGAGTTGTACTCTTAGCTCAAGCTGAACCTTGTAAGATAAAACTCTGATGAAGACAAGCCTCTTCATTGTTTTCACAGGAGTTAGGAGTACAAGCTGTAATACAGACTTATCTGTACATGTTAACTCAACATTTTGTGTTGAAAGAAATTGCACTGTTGTAAGATTTTACTGGGTATTATTTAACATGATTTAAAAACAGACCTTTTGCCTACTGAAGTGAAGAGACTATTCATTAGACAAAATCCCAGCTGAAGAGACTATTCATAAGGTAAAATCTCACTTGAATTTTGCCATTGTTTTGACTAAAACCAAAGCCATTCTGAGCAGCCTCAGTCAAACAGGACCAGAGTGTCAGTGTTTTCTCTGTGTCGAGGTAATCCTGAGCTACATTGCTGAGTGTAGACAGTCTCAAATAATGATGAAACTTGAAATTAAAGTGAAGTCTAAATTTTCTGCTTTACAGCCTATCTTGTTGATATCTTGCAGTCTTGGGGAGTTTATCCAGTCCTCACAAAAGTCAGTGAGAAAAGTAATGTTGAAATTAATACCAGGATTTTGTCCATAATGTTCAGAGATAATTTTTATCTGATTTCATTACCTACAGTGAGGTTTTATGGCGTATTTGAATGAGTGAATTCAATGAGATTACAGTAGTTCATATGGTCTTAGAATCTGTGTAAATTTGCAAGATAGATCTGTATTATGATTAGATAGATAGATAGATAGATAGATAGATAGATAGATAGACAGACAAATTTTTGGTGGTGATGAGGCTTTTGGGACTTTTGAAATTCTGTGGTAAATACGAATTAAATCTGCTTTTCAGAAATATAAATAATTTAGAAATTAGAGATTATTTGAGTTTAGAGTCAAACTCAAAGATTGTATAGACTATATTTGCAAAATCTTCTTCTTGCCCAGATTTGGTTGGTTATTTGGCTTTTATGGAAATAAAGGACTGGAACTGTTTGTCCTCAGTCCTTTAATAGTACCATCATTCTTGCTATTTGCAGAAGCTGCTTTTTAATTAAAACTATGTGTATGCCTTTCAGTATCCTTCAAAATGATTACTGAGTTTGAATAGGGGCTCAAAAATATTTCATACACAAAAAAAATTAACAGTAAAAAATAAGACTACAAGAAGACATGTACACAGTATTTGTGTCTCAAGACAGCACTACTTGCACCTTTACTTATCTAAGATGTCTGTATGTTTTTAATTGTTAAGGAAAATCAAGAGAAATGCTATACACTATAAAACTGGTTTGAGAGCTTTGAGAACTTTTGGGAATGAAGTTTGTTATCTTGCATACTTAGGTGCATGCCTAACAAATCAAGCAGCTCCCAATATTTAAAAATTGCTCAGTGCTAATGCTTTCCAATGTATTTATTTCTTGCACCTAGGGTTTTTTTAGAAGAACCATTCAAAAGAACCTCCATCCAACCTATTCCTGTAAATATGAAGGAAAATGTGTGATAGACAAAGTAACAAGAAATCAGTGCCAGGAATGTCGCTTCAAAAAATGTATCTTTGTTGGCATGGCAACAGATTGTAAGTATATTTTCATGTTTTTTCTTTATTTAATTTTTTTTCAGTGTCTGTGTTTTCTTAAAGTATGTTGATTGATGAAGCTTGTTAAAGTAAAGTAGAACTTCCAGCTCTTTTGTGGTTTTAATAATACCAGGGAATCACACTCGTTGCATTAAGCCACTTTCACAGGGCTGAAATTTTTTGTTTGTCCTTCATCAGGCTGCACCTTCCCTTGGCCTTACCAAGCTGAGTAACAATAGGAATGTTCACCCTTTGGAGGAGAGGAGGGAGAAATGCATCTGGATGGACACTTTGCTTGAGATAAAAACATCTTGTTTAGAAAATTCTGGAGGATGTGAAATTGAATGTCATTGTATGAGTCATCCTGCAGTTGTTTGTTTTATTTTTAGCCCTGAAGAAGTTATCTGCTGCAAAGATTTTGAGCCTCTTCTAAAGAACTAGAAGATATGGCTGTAAGATTAATCCTTAGGGGGTCTTCTTTTCCTGCTATTGCACAGGGATTTACACCAATAACTTCATTTACTACAAATGGGAGGAAGTCACCTATAGCCTGCAGAAGTCATATAAATCCCTTTGCTCCTTCATGGTTATTGCCAGTATAATCCTTTGCAGAAGAACTGAAAGGAAAACAGGCCCAGTAAACAACAGAAGAATAGTCTAACTTAGTATTTTCATTGTTAATGTAATGTATAACAGTTCCCTCTGGCTAGAGGGAAATAGAATAAAGGAGACGATTTCATTGTGGCCAGGTAGACCTTCAGAAGAGGGGCTGGAACCAGTGAAGTGGTGAGCAGAGCAGCCCTGGGGCCTGTGTATCTGGAGTCACTGGAAGTAATGGAGCTCTATAGGAACACCACTTGTGGTGATCAGGAAAAGAGCCAAAGGCATGTTGACCTGATTGTGTCATGCTTCAGGCAGATGAGCCTTCTGTGAATAAGTGCTCCCACTTTCTTTGATCCATGTTACCTTCTGCTGTCATCCAAGTACATGTTCTGCACTTCAGAGCAGTGAGTGTGAGCATGCTGATATGTCTTTAAAGAAAACAGAAGTGCATCTTTCCCAATATGGATTACTCCAAGTCCATTGCAGGAGCACTTGGACACCTCACAAAGCTTTTGCATATTAGTTTTATTGGTGGAACAACCCCTTGAGGGCAATGGCAGTATACAAAGCATTACCAGGATGGTAAGTCACTCTTTGCTACCCAGGCTTGTGAGAAAATGAAGTTTGAAGGGAGAAGTAAGAGAACTGTCTCAACTGTGGGTCTTGCCAAGGTATACTTCCTTACTGGTTAGTTAAGGTATTTGTAAGCAACTGGTACCTCAGGAACACAAAAGATGAAAGTTCTGACAGTCTTACGAGCTTCCTACCAATTTTGTATGTTTTTTCCCCTGCTAGTGGTGTTGGATGACAGCAAGAGGTTGGCAAAACGGAAACTGATAGAAGAGAATCGAGAGAAGAGACGTCGGGAAGAGCTGCAGAAAACCATTGGGCACAAACCAGAGCCAACAGATGAGGAATGGGAGCTCATCAAAATTGTTACTGAAGCACATGTGGCCACCAATGCACAAGGAAGCCACTGGAAGCAGAAAAGGAAATTTCTGGTAAGGGCTGTAGCCTTATATGCTGCTCTTAGTGCCAGGTTCTGTTCTTTCTTCTGCAGTGCCTTCCCATCATTGCAGCCCCGAAGAGATTTTATTGCCAGTGTACTGATGTTTGTGAAAAAAGAATGATTTTGCATAGTTATTACTTCATTTTTTGTGCCTGAACCTCAGTGTTTGATCAGACCATCTATTTTAAAAGATAAACAGCGTGTTGCTATGTTAAGGCTTACTCAGCTGGATACTTTTATTGTGCTATGAGTAGAAAAAGTAGAAAAAATTGTTCACAGAGCAAAAAATTCTCAAAAATTCCCAAAAAATTGAGAACAGAAGCAGTCTATAATGCATACTGTATTTTTAAAATATATTCTATCTAGGGAGAGTTGTCTTTATTAGGGACTATCATAAAACATATTTAAAGTGTTAAAACAATAAAATGTTCTAGACGAAAGCTGGTACTTTTAATGACTCAGGGGTTTTCTCTCTTTTGGTTAGTGGTAGATACATTAATGAAAATACATTAGGCAAGGAAAATTAATTTCAGTGAGAACAGGATGATACGTACACTATACCATTGGAATTGCAGCCTACAAAAAAACTTAGTTTTTCATCCTATAACTAAGGGTCAGAAAATAAATGGTGATTTGCAATGCTTGATCTTAAAAAAGGATTTATTTGATTTTTCTAAATCAATTTTTAGGGGAAATAAGTGCAGAATGCAAAATGCTTATACCACACAAAAGAGGGTTTAGAGACTGAATTTCAAAAATACATAGGAGTCTTTAACAGTCAGGGTATACTAAATCAGATAGAGCACGCTTATCCTTTTGCAAGCCTAGACTCCTACTGCATAATTCACCATGGGAATTTCAACTCACTGTTGAATTGTTATGAGAAATTATGTATTCAAAGCAACGGATCTCTTTTATAAAGTTGGGGGTTTTCTAATGCCAGTGACACCATAGAAATTTCAATATGAATGGCTCGTGTTCATTATACTGTACATTCAGGAAACCACAGCCAGTCATCACTGGCAAGAACCAAGAGAGCACTTTCCAGGGGTGTTGCAGAGCAAGGTGTGAGCAGACCAAGAAGCCGCTGCAGTAGTACTTTTGGTTGTTTAGACAGGAGTGCTGTTCTTCAGGTATCAGCTGGTTTGGGATAAAACCTAGGAAGCTGGAGACTGGGGCTGGGAATGAGCTGTTGAAGAGCAGTAGAAGCTGACAGTGTGCCCTGGGAGCTATGGATCTGTCCTTATGTAGCTGAAGCTGCTTCATTGGATTCCACACCTCTTCTCCTGTTGAGTTAGGTGGAAAGAGCTCCCCTCCAGTGTGTTAGCTTTAGCTGGCTCTCGTGACTTGCTTTGCCTTTCCCAAGAAAATGCCATGCTCTTTCTTTTTCTCTGCACAATGGTTCGTGTGGGTTTAAGCATTTGGTCTTTTTTGCTTGGAAGTGATGAAGGTTGTTTATCATGAGCACACAGACAATGTGGTTTAGTTACCCAAGATGCAGGGAGGGAGAGAGACTAGAAATTCGTTTATTTGAGTTTTTTAGTAGAAACCATCAGATAATTGAGCCCAGTCTTCTTCATTGTTCCTTTACAATTGGTCCTTGCTTTATTAACACATTACTGAGTTTTTTCTTGCAAGAAGTTAGATTTGGATTCAGATTGGTTACAGAGCTGTGGAAGGATCTTTTATCATGTGTTTCTTTTAAAAAGTGGTTGAATACAAGTTTTTATTATAGATAGTACTTTCAGCACCTCCCCTTTTAAGTGTGTTATATAAATGTCATAAGGTCCCAGTCTAAAAGGTCTACTTCTCTGGATTTTATCTAGTTTTTGACCTTAATGTGAACAGAATGAAACTTCTGCATGGTGTTTGGTAGATGTTTTGTAATTGCAAAGCCACACTTAACAAACAAAACAGCTTTGAAGTGCCTGTATTTCAAATACATGGTAACATTGACCAGCTGCATAAAAAGCACGTGGACAAGTTCAAGTGCAGTTGGAATAAAAAATACTCATTACAGATTCTGCTTAAAACTATTTCATTGTATATCCCTGTTGAAATCCTCAAAATGTGATTTGTTTTTCATTTGGAGAAGCCTTGAGCTGAAGTCATGCAACAGGCAATTTTCAACCAGATTTTTACCCAGATGAGTTCAAATTCTATTTACATTATCCAGGGCACCTTTAGGTTAGCCTGTTCTTGCTCATAAGTTGCTTTAGCTTTGCACATAAGTTGTTTTAGTGTTTTGGAAGCTGGCCTTGGCAATTGCGTGGGGAGGCCCTGTGATACCTGGCAATCTCATCTGGGGAGACTTTCCGAGCTTTGAGTGGATAAAGGGCCTAAGTTTGCAGCATCTTCTCATGGGTAACATGTCTCCTTAGCTCTCTTTGATTTTAGAGAAACTTGAGAGCTTTCAACTCCTGTAACGAAAATCGTGCCTATTTTTTTAAACAAAATATGCATATGCTGCACCCATAAAATACATAGATACAGACACAAGGAAGAAACTGTGTGCACAAAGTCCAGCTGTCCACAAAGAATGGGTAGAAGCATACCAATCACCCCTTTCTCTGTGTAGTCACCCCTTTCACAAATGCCTTACAAATGAATTCACATTTTGTGACATAAATGGACTTTACTTACAAAGCAAATAGTGTTGCTTTTTATTTTAGTGTCTCTTCCATACCAAGCAGGACTTTGGAGTTTTAAATAATTGCTCTAAGACAGACTGCTCCTTTAAATATCTTTGTTTATATCCTTAGCCAGAAGATATTGGGCAGGCACCAATAGTTAATGCCCCAGAAGGTGGGAAAGTGGATTTAGAAGCCTTCAGCCAGTTTACAAAAATTATCACACCAGCGATTACAAGAGTGGTGGATTTTGCCAAAAAGTTGCCTATGTTTTGTGAGGTAAGAAGACTTTCTTGCACTCCTCATTTATATGCCTGTTGTTAGAAACTACTCAGAATACTCTGGCAAGGAACCTAAAAATACGATGTGTCGAAAGTTAAAAAATTAAAGACACTCAAAATCAATGGGACTAGAATAATCTGTATTTTTATGAATTTTCTTTTTCCTGTGATTACTGAAATCCTGAGTTTGCTAATGTGGAAGTCGTTGTGGTTTAGGGACTCAGATATGTCTTTAGAGGTAGCCTTGAACAGAGAAAATGAACAAAAAGATCCTGTCTAGAAGTATCACTGATATGTTTAATAAAATATTCCAGCACATGGTTCTCTATGTATCCTCTGGTTCCCTGGCAGGTGCAATATTGTAGAGCTGGGTCTACACAGTAAAAAATTATTGAAATTCAGGAGAGCGCCCCTTTCTGTGAGTGGCACTTGCCTCATTGGGTTCCCTAGGCTTGGTTTTTCTGAATGGGGAGGTTGTGCATAAAAAAGTCTGTGAAAGTAATGGATTGTCATTCCAAATAGATACTCACATGTAAATATACAGTAAATAGACTCAAAGGCTTGGTTGCATTTTAGGAGTACAGAGGCCTTACACTGATCTCATTTGTACCAAGGTATCATTTTTATTGAAGGACCAGATGCAATGGCTGATTGTATTTTTTTTTCTTCAATTTAATAAATGGTATCAGAATGCAGCCTGAAATAATATTTCAGTCTTAATAATCTAAATATTTTTCATAAAATCATAGAAAGTTTTGGGTTGGAAGGGACCTTAAACATCATCCAGTCTCAACCATCCTGCCATCGGCAGGAATATGTTCCATTGCACACTTTGAGGTCAACACCCTACCAGAAAGGAAGGGTAAGGCAGACATAAAATTTTACTCTACTGTGGCTGGCAGCTTTTTACTAAAGTCAGTCAGGGAGAGCTATATATGTCCTCCAGCAAATACAGAACAAGAGGTAAATATCAATAGTTGTCATAGTGTAAATATCTCACCCTGGCCAGCCTCTGCATTGGTGCCATCAGTCAAGGAAGCATGAAATAGTAGCCAAGCATGAAGATTTTAAAATATGAGGAATATGTCCATAGATCATGAGCATTTAGTGTCTGAGGGAATCTGTCTCCTCTGATCTGGAATTTGTTAATGGGAAATTGCAGTGACATACCAAGGTAGTCTTTTTAATTTAGAAAGCTCTTCCAGTCACACACAGACTTCTGTACCCATCTGACATCTCCTACCCCTCCTGGCTACCATGGACCCACCTGTGTCAGAGCTAGGCAGGAAGCATGGATGAAGAAGTCAAGGCATTGTTGAACATGACCTCTGTATGTTGTGCGGTTCAGCTGGACAGGCTTTGTTTACAGCAAAGCCACTGTGTAAACCTGACACCTGCCCATATACAGCAAGATCTGATTGCAAGGGGAGGGACAGCTCCTCATGAACACAAAGGAGTAGGACAGCTGTCCTCTATGTTGTCATATAGCACTTCATTTAGCATGAAGAAAATGACAAATGTTTGCTCCTTTTTGAAGGGGCACCCTCCTGTTAACTTTTTTTCCATTATGATTTTTAACCAATATCTTTTTCTTAGAAGCAATGCTGTATGGGCTGTAGATTTTTTACAGGAAAAAACACTTCTTTTTTCCATAGGACCTGCAGAGCATTTAAACTTTAACTCAGTTTGTAATTCCAGAAGCTGTCTGAGAATGTAACAAATCTCTATGAAAGAGGGACCTGACAGGGAACATCCATGACCACTTACATTTTCATATCTACTTTTCCATCTTTTTCACATCTTTGGACACATGTAGAAGCCAGCAAAGCACTATGAGTGCCCAGCTTAGTTTGTGTGCATCCATTGGCCCCTGCTTCAAACCAAGTATCCAATCCTGGAGTAATCCAAGTATAAGGAAAACTTGGTTTTTTCTCAGCATTTCTCCTGTTGTTTCTTTCCTGCTTTTCTTTCTGGTTAGAATATGAAGATTGAGGAGAATATAATAAGTTTAATGTGAGTTTTAAATGTCAAGGCATCAGTTGTTCCACAGTGGGTGAAGCTGTGTAAATACTCTTTGAGGTCACTCAGCTCAGCTCAGTTCCATGGTGCTGCATTACCCCTGTCCTGCAGAGCTGAGCACTTCAGGTTCCTGCCTTGTGCCTTTTCTCCCTGCAGAGAGAGAGTAAAGGACATGACAGAGTTTCAGTCACATTTTTTTGATCCTGCTACTGGAAGATGCTCTGGTAGCAACACTCAAGTGATGGCTATAGGTAGCATTAAAATCTGCACAGCTGGCAGTAGAACTATGTTCAAGCCTCCTGTTTATGGTAACTCCTGCTACTGGCAGATAAGACCTGAGGCCTGGCATTTGTGAAACAAGTGTCTCATGTATCCTTCACAATTAGAAAAGCAGGTGAAAGACAGGCATAGTCAGACCACCACTACCATAATGAAGTTTTAAGAAGGATCATGTAGAAAGGGAAATCCTCATTAATTTCATGGCTCACTAATAAAACAGCTGAAGCATCACAAAATATCTTCTCTACTGTTACCTGTTTCTTTTCTACTATTCTTCCTTCTATTTAGAGGCTTGGTGGTTTTTTCATGTATCTTTTCTTGTCCCTTCTCTCTGCCATTCTTTCATGTTTTTTTCACTTCCATTTCTTATTCCAGTATCTCTTCATGGTTCCTTTCACATATCTATTCTCGTATTAATTTTTTTAAAACTCTATTTCTTTCCCTACTTCAGTCTCTGCTGCCAAACAGTGGAATTGTCATTGGGTAGCAAGACTGCTGCTGTGCCTGTTCAGTCTTCCCCAGACTGCTGCTGAGCTGAGGGTCATCTGTATGGAAACTGATTTGCTCTGAACAGGATGAGTCAATTTTCTTGTGTATTAAACACTTCACACCTGAAGCTGGAAAAGTAGCTGCATGACTCAACCCATTTTCCTGACCATGTGCTTAAAACTCTTCTCTAACAGGGAACTGCTTTCCACTTGCATTAGGTAGCTCTGCATCATTTTCCACCAAATCAGTGCACTTGCTTTGCAAGTACACTGTTGCCATGCAAACCTATAGTTCATGGGGGTTTCATTTTTGCATTGCAAAACAGGTAAATATAATAATTTTATAGAAATAAAAAATAAATGGCTTTTTGCCTCCTTTCAGGGTAAGCAGATGTGTGTTGTTCTTTCATATGTTGGACCCTTGCTCTTCGCTTGCAGTCTCAAAATTGTCGTGGTGGGATTTGTTATCATTGAATAACCTATGAAAACATATATTATATGCTTTATAGAGCACGTTCTGCTCACATGTCAGCATCCTGGTTATACTCTGTAAATGTAGAACCTTTGAACATCTTGGCTTTGGTAATGGCATGGAAAAGTCACATGTGCTGAAGATCACAGTTTATGCACCGGCTTAAAAGCTGTAGCTATACCATAGATTTTCTGTCTGTCCAGCAATAGTGTAGAGAGCTCAAGGAGAACAGTCTTACTAGATTAAGTCTAGATTAATAAAATCTCTGTTGTTAAAATGGGCAGTGAGAATTCCTGCTCCACTGATTGATATAGATATATAGATATATAGATATATAGATATATAGATATATTTAATTTCTTTTATTTAAAACACAGTCCACTCTTACAAACCCTCCCAAATGTGTTTCTTTTCCTCTGGTCAGGTAAGAAATGAGTATGGCTGGTAGTGACTTTAACTGGGATGGCTGAGGACTGCACCAGCCCCAATTATAGTTTATTCTGCTGTGATAAGTTGTAAGCTGAGGGAGCCAACAGCTGTGTTATTGCTAGATTTCTTAAGGGTGTGTGGAGATGCTAACCAGGGAATGTTTACCTTCTGGCAGCTCCTGAAGGCAAGAATGCAGATCCTGGGGGTTTGTGCAGAGCAGCGTGTTTAGAGGGGAGCTGCACTATGCAGGGCAGTGTCCTGGGCTGTGAACTGCAACTTTGTGCTCGTGGATTTATTGTAGCTATAAAAGCACTTAGTTTGACAAACTTTGCCATTTGTAATTTCTGCAGCTGCCATGTGAAGACCAGATCATCCTTCTGAAAGGCTGCTGTATGGAGATCATGTCCCTCCGAGCAGCAGTTCGCTATGACCCCGAGAGTGAGACTTTAACACTAAATGGGGAGATGGCGGTGACAAGGGGCCAGCTGAAAAATGGGGGTCTTGGCGTAGTTTCTGATGCCATTTTTGACCTGGGCATGTCTCTTTCTTCATTTAACCTGGATGACACCGAGGTTGCCCTTCTTCAAGCTGTTCTGCTCATGTCATCAGGTGAGAACAGAAACATATTGGAATCCAAACAATTTTAAAACTCTTTGGTCTTTGTCACAAGCCTCTTTGTAAAAGAAGTAAGATAGGTTAGATCTTGTAGTGCTGACTAGAGTAATGTGAGAGAAATTTTCTTTCAAAACCCCAGTGACATATTTTGGTGAGCACTAGGAAAAAAATTCAGGGTGTTCAAAGAGTTAGTCATAAAACTGGTTTTGGTAACACACCTTGCTCAGTTTGGTACTTGGGAATGAGCCAGGGATGATCATGAAGAATAAATCAGTGATGATTCTGAGCCAGTTTGCCTTAAATGAAAAATGGATAGTTTAGCAATACTGGTCCTAATGATAAGTTTTCTCTTCCCCTGAGTAATGTCATGCATTGGGCATTCATACTCATTTCCACCAGTCTTAATGTTTAGTTTGATGTGCCCTCTTTTTTTCCTAATTAACAGCACCACTGCTTCCTAATGGGCATTTACGACTGTGCCGTTTCCCTACGCTGGTCATTTGCAACTGGTCATGATACAAAACCAGCACAGACAATTTCCTAAGATTTCCAAAAAGTTTCTAGCCTTCTCAGTTTGAGTATGTTTTCATATATGCTTCCAGTCATTGTGCCAGCCCAAAGAGGAAATTCCATTCTTGGGCAGTGGCAGATTTGGCAAGATTTTATTTTAAGATGGCTTTGAAGATTGGGCACTGAATAACAATACACAATCAGTGATTTACAAGTGTTAACTGCATCTGAGATGAAAAGGTTTCCACATTAATCACAACACAGCACTTCATTTTCCCCATCAAAATTTCTTTGTAAAGAAATTTCATTTCCCCGTCTTGATTTCTTTTTAGGTCCCTACACACTGATACAGGAGCAGGGCTTTCAGAAAGCAAATCAAAAATTAGCTGCTTTTCCCAAAGGTGTTTTCTGAGAAGTGACATGTGAAAGGGGCTTTCCCAGTCTATGCCTGGCTGCCAGTTGAGACAGCCAGATTTTTAGCTTTTGCTGTTCCTTGATGCTCCATAACAGCTCACCTAGGATCAAAGCATGATGAAAGCATGATCAGACCATTGGTCAGATTGTAGAAAAACAGATAGAAAGGAACTGTAATTTAGATATCTGACAAGTAATTTTTTTTGTTTCTTTATTAGTTTTTTTACAGAAAAATATAGATAGAAGCCTTAGCTGAAATCAGGGATCTGATGTTCTAGTCACTATAAGGAAACACTTCCCAAATAGCTACACTCTAAGTGAGCAAAGCAGGCAATGGATGAAGAAAGGAAGGATTATCTTTTGATAGGCATAGTACTAGCAAGTGAGTTGGCTGGAGTTGAAAGAAGTTTGTGGCAGAGCCACAAATGTGTCCGGTCTCTCTCCTTTCTTTCCTGGCATGAGAATCATCAGTTTTTTCCTGATTCATGATCAGGCATTTGTTAAAGCAAATAAGTAAGAATTCTGCTGTTTTGTATCTACAGATCGCCCAGGCCTTGTTTGCGTTGAGAGAATAGAAAAGTGTCAAGAGGGTTTCCTCCTGGCATTCGAACACTACATTAATTACAGAAAACACCATGTTGCACACTTTTGGCCAAAACTGCTGATGAAAGTGACAGACCTGCGAATGATTGGAGCCTGCCATGCCAGCCGCTTCCTGCACATGAAGGTGGAGTGCCCCACAGAACTGTTCCCTCCGTTATTCCTGGAAGTGTTTGAGGATTAGAGAGACTGAAGCAGTTCTCTACACCCCCATCGCACTACTGGCTGTCATTTCATCCCGTTGCCCAGTTCTTCTCACCTGTTTGTTCTTCTTCTTTTGTGGTCTTCTGTTTCTGGAGACCGGGGCTGGGGTTTTGTTTGGGTTTTCTTTTGGGGGGCAGTTGTATACACATGGATGAAAATATCCCTTTAATGCGGGTACTTGTGACTATTGCAATTTGTTCTACAGTCCTTTGATGTGAGTGCTTTGACAGCTTAACAGTGAAAATACAAACAGACCAATCTCATTCACCAGCATTTGCGTGGTCACCAGCTCACACCCATAATTGCCTGGAAAATAGGGGAGAAAGACTAAAGTGGCAGAAAAAAATTTGCCTTCAAGTTGAAACAGCTATTGTTAATTTGACCCTGACAGTTCTGTCTTGTATTACCTCCTTTTGCAGGGTACAACTGACCAATTAATAGTATGAAATTTCTGGTCTTTGTGGTGGTTTCTATTGTAACAATTATCACTATGATCTTGGATCTTCATCATCATGATCCCATCATTCTCTGAGGTTTTTTCCAGCAGATGCAATTTAACTGTGCCCCATAAATCAAGTACCTAAAATAATGCAGAGTGTTAGAGAAGGGATTGAGTCTTTTTTTTTTTTTTTTTCCATGTGTATAAGATATTCAGATCTTCATTTACTAAAGTTGGACTCCAGGTAACTTCACTGGAAGGTTTGTTGGAGTGAGGACAGATATTTGATTCTCTGAGGTGCTCATGATAGTGGAGGAGTCTGCTTTTTCTGAGGAAACTCCATTACTCCGAGGGAGAAGGCTCTCTGTCAGGATAGCAGGCAGTGTCTCAGAGTTATTCAGGGATTTGAGGGCTCACAGAATGATGACAAGGAGAATGAAACACATAAGGTGACCTTCAGATAGGATAGAAACTGTGTTATTAAGAACACTCAAGACTGTAGAGCTTTATCCCAGGATTACAAATAGTGTTGCTCGGCAGTAATCCTTTGTTTTATATATATATATAAAGTTTATATGCACGTATATATATAATTTTATATATATATAATTACAAATCTTCAGCAGATGTCTTAAACATATTTCTGTATTTTTATCTTCTCTCTCTCTTTCTCTGGCTCTGCCCTGTGTGTGTGCATGTGGATCAGCTGAGTTCTCCCTCCCTACAGGAATGTCTGTATGTGTTTCATTAGGCTAGATGCTCTCTTGATTCTTTTAATTTATTTCCACTAACTGCACTAGCAGGAACCAAACTGAGCAATGACAGAATTGCTGCCGAAGTCTGCAAGCCAGTACACACAGGTCTGGAATGTTTGGAGGCCAGTGATGAGGACATTGTAGGTAGAGGTTCCTCTCTGTCAACATCTCCATTCAGGAATGTTGTCCCTGGGTTTTATAAATTTGATATTAATCCAACCTCTGAATTTGTGACACTTCTAAAACATCTTTCTTTTCTTCCTGGAACCTGAGATTTAGTTCATTTTTTTTGCACTGCCTCATACTCTACATTCTTTCATCTTGTGCATTGATTTCTACCAGTTTCTTTTTCTGCTATTTATTGACCCACTTGCCCGCTAAGTTGTGGGCATTGTTAGAGTGGATGTGTTGACTTTCAAAACTCATGACCCATATCTGAACCCGTATGTTATGTGCTTATCCCCTCATAAAAACAGGATACTCAGGAAAATTAATAGATGAAACATGATAAATGTGTGTCAGGAGTTAAACTCTTTCTACCCTTCTTTCCCTACGTCATTGATAAAGAATTTGGAGTGCTATTTGGCACATTTTTAGGGATATGGAATCTTGTTCTCTCTGTTGTTTGATACCATATGCACCTGTGATGAGCTGTGAGCACTAATGTTATCACTTAGGAGTTTTTTTGTCAGAACATAAAACACATTGGGGTGTGTAGGAGTTTTTTTGCAGGTAGTGAAGACACACCACTGGAGATTCATTCTTAAATATTTGGTGTAGAACCTCTTTTGTTGGCTGTGTTGGCTCCATCTTGAAGCATGTGTCTAAACAACATCTCTATCCAAATTCCTTATAGAGCACTGTCTTGGGGGCAGAGTCAGAAATTGGCTCTTTGGACAGGTGATTTGGGGTGACTTGATGAAGGACTTACAGCATGTAATAGGGAACTCAGAAAATCAGCCGATCCCTTACTTGTGCTGATGCCTTCAAGATCTAGAAACAACACACTTTCAAGACATTATTCATATAACCAGGAATATAAAAGCAGAATTGGAGGCCTCCAGGTGCAAATATGGCAAAATGCACACATGATACAGGATATCTACAATTTTATACATTTCATAAATTAGCATATTTAACAATAATGTCCAATTAGAAGAGCATTTAGTTAAATAATCCCCCCTTTTGATTCTGCCCATTTGGAGCCCCTCCTGAGTTTCTAGCCCCATATCTATTACGTCTAGGATACATGGTAAAAGGAAATAAGACGTCCTTAGCTAAAGAGACAAGACTAAATAATATTTCAGGAATGTAGCATAATATGTCTTAGAAGGTTTTCTTGTTGGTCTAAAATGTAAGGGAAAAGGGGCAGAAAAAGTACTGGGAGCTACAGCCATGTATCAGAAATCTACAAAGCTACAAATATATGACAAATACATGAAAAGCTTAGGCATCAGTGCCTATGCCCACAGTGGCTTGCAAAGAAAAGAGACATGTGCATGTCTTTTGAAGCCCTGTTCTGCCATGGATCTGAGCATGGAATTCTTCCTGAAGCCAGTGCAAGTACCTCACCTGTTTGCTTAGTGCGAGCTTGAGTAGGCATTCAATCTTCTGACTGTGCTGCAGGTGAGACCCAGGAGAGGAAGCATAACATCTCTTCTTGTTCCAAAATACCAATGCAGTTTGGAGCTGTGCTCAGTCAGGGTTCAGAAAATCAGGCCTCCTTCCTTAGGTGATTGCGGATGGACTGAAGTGCCTAAAATCAGGCAACCAACTTAGATAGTTCTGGCAGTGCTCTAAACAGAAAGGACATACATCAATATGTTTCTCTAGCTTTTCAGGTTCAGTTGGCATCTGGCACTAATTAACAGACTGAGTTACTAGTATTCCCTAACTGGAAACTAAGGTCAAGCTCATAGTTGGGCAGATTTGATGAACTGACATCTAATGGCCTCTGATCTCCTACCAGTCTTATTTTGTGTCACTTCCTTTACTTCCTCAGTATGACTGCTGATTTATGTGATTGTGAGAGAAAAACTAACTGACCTTAGCTCTGCAAAGACGTACTTCTAAACATCAGTGATCTCAAGCCATTTTGGGATTGAGCCCCTGGACTGACCACCTCAGTGGCAACACCAGTGCCACAGTCAGCACCCTTTATAGTAACTGGCCTTCTGAGTGGAATAACAAACATGTGCTTTCCAGGGCAGTCCAGAGTCTTGTTTCTGCTGGTGCCACATGGCTCTTGTGTTTGCTTTGTGGTCTGCATCTGGGTCTTACACAGAAGGTTTTTCCTGTCAAACCTGATTGTCACCATTCATGGTATTGCCCTGAGTAACATGTGCATTTAGATATTCATTTCATGTGTAATCTCAGTTAAGTTGTGATATTTATTATAACATATATAGTGTGTGCTAATGATTTTTGTTTACATTCTGCCAAAATGTAGACTTAGAGTTAGACCTCCCAGGTCCAAAATCATCTTTGAGCAGACTGCTTGCTTCTTCAGAGGCAGGTATCAGAAAAGAGGAAAAAACTGTCCAGAAAGACCATTTATATCAGAAATCTGCCAAGAGAGGGCTGTTAATCACAAGCAGAGCATGTCATTGCTAGTGATGTATTTTTATGCTATGGAACTCTAATCTGTATGTGTCATATTGACTTCTTGCTGCATGAATCATAAATTTTAAAAATCAGTCTTATGGTTTTGAGATGTAGCCAGCATTCCTAAGGCTAAACCTTTTTTATTGACAGAAACAAAATCCACAACCAAGGAACGTTTTCCTCTCACTGTGAGAGCAATTGAAAGTGTTCAACATTTATTGTATCACAAAGGAAGAGGCAACAGAACCTCTTAATGTGTCTTGTTATTGTGATCATCTGGAAATGATTGCCAGACGTTTCCCTTTGATAAAGTAATGGAGTGATCTGTATTTAAATTTTATAGAGAGAATTTTATTCTAGTTGTGATAGAGATTTATTTTCCATTTTTTTTTTTTTTTTTTTGTGAGCACGTTTTTTTTTTTTTTTTTTTTTGTTTTTGTTTTTTGGTTTTTTTTTTTTTTTNCCCCAGGATGGGCTGAGCATGAGCATTTTAAATTAATACACCACTAGAAATATTTAATGCAGATATTGATCTTTTTTTTTTTTTTTTTTTTTTTTTTGGTTTTTTTTTTTTTTTACTATGGTATATTTTTGCTTTAAAATTAAAAACAAAACAAAAAAAAGGTTTGGCCTTATCACAAAGTTTTAGTATAGATGTTAGCAAATGCAAAGAGTATGCATTATTTGTGTGTATCCACATTGACTGATGTCGCCTTCAAAAAGCAATATTGTGCAGGTAATAAGTTGTTTGTGACTGTCCATTGCACAGTTTACCTTCTTTAAAAGCTAACCTTGTTTATGCACAAGACAATCAAATGTAAATCTACATCAGCACCCAGGTGTGGATTAAATTTCTGTAAATTACTGAGCACAATGTAAAACATTAAAAGACACTTTATTTAATTACACATTTAATGTTGGTAAAGATAGTATCAGGGCATGAACTAGCTGACATACTGTAAATTTTTTTCTCTTTTCCTACTTCCTTAGCACTCTACAGTTTCAGTTTGCTCATAAATACATCAAATTAGTCATTCATAATTTTTTTAAAGAGGAGGGTTGTTTGGGTTGTTTATTTGTTTTTATGAAGTTGGTTGGGAGGACTTACTACTTTGTCTATGAGGTTTGTGGGTTTTACTTATTTGGTTTATTTTTTTATATCAGTTTCATGCCCTGAGGGTAAGGCAAACATTACACCATACAGTAAAGAAACAAAGTACCTTGGATGATGTATTTTTTTGCAAACAGTGTTAAGAGTTATGCTAGATTGGTAATATTTTTTCAGCCTAAAATATATTAAAAAAAAAATCTGTGATCACAAATGTTTTAAACTATCTAAAGAGAAAATTTGTATATTTGGGGAAGAAAATAATTTTTACATAGCTTTTGTATGCAGATATTAAAATGTAATTATGAATATAGTGGGCATAGATAACTGTGTAAGCTTGAATTCTAAAAAAGAAAAAGCTTATAACTGAAAAGTGGTCCTGGTGTCTCTGTTTTTTTGTTGCAGGCTCTTTTGTCAGCTCTGTCTCACACTTTCAAGCCACTGGAATGGGAAAAGTAGGACCTAGAGCACAATGTTTTATTAGCTCTAACCTGTTCACATTTCTTTGCTTCTGCATCCCTTTCATCACCTACCTCATAT